TATTGTTAGCGCACTAGCTCAAGCAGAGCTAGCATGTGTCTGGCTACTCAAGCTGGGAAGCTTGCTCCCAGCTGCAGTGTAGACGTACCCAATGAGCCAAGGGTCTCAGAACTGACAGGACACGTCAGACAAAACTGTTGTTAATGAACAACAGACAAGGTCTCAGATCAGCCCCTAAACAGAGCCCACAAATTGCCATGAGGCAGTACCCCTAGTGATGTCACTGCAGGGAATGGGGGAGGGAGCGTCACACCAGAACATGTGTCACATAGAGAGAGGCCTGCACTGCTGCAGCCTGTCACCCGGCCTCAGACCTCCTATTTCTGTGCTGGGCAACCCCTTTGTGGTGCTGATTTGCACAAGTGTGTAACTCTAGGGTTAGTGGTTGGCAGGAGCTTAGCTGGGGAAGGGCTCTGTGGGGCTCTGTGGGGCTGTGTGGCACTGGATTTACTGTCCACCCCTAGAGATGTGGAGTCAGGTCCTGTCTTGGTTCCTAATGGAATAATGTGGGTGGTGGGGCCCATCAGAGTGCACCTCACACAGCTCATACAGGGTATAGTAGGGGTTGGAGACTCTGTTTATTCGCAGTCCAGGCCTAGACTAGCAGGGAAGGGGGCAGAGGACAGGACTGAGGAACCCTGGGCTGGGATAGCATAGTGGTTGTGGGTGGGGATTCAGAGACACCGGCGGTTCGGTCGGGAGCCCAGGGCTGGGATAGCAGGGGGCTGCAGCTGGGCCCTGAAGGGCACTGGCAGAGCTGTGTGCGTGCAGGGAGCCCAGCATCGGGATAGCAGGGATTTTGCAGGTCAGAATCGAGATGTAGCCACAGACCTTCATGAAGGAAGTTTGCCCAGCCCCTCACTAAGGGCTTGTCTACACAGCCCGTAGTTTGGCCTACGTGACTATAATTTGCAGCACACACCAAAGTGCTGCGCTGGAATAGCTCCATGTGGATGCTGGTGGTGCACACTAAATGGTACTTAGTTCGCACTGACATAGTCTTCTTCAAACATGACTCAGTTAATGTGAACTAGGAACCTTTTAGTTCACACCCAGAGCATCCACATGGGGTTGTTACAGTGCAGCTCTTTGGTGTGTGTTGCTTTTCACACCCCTGTAACCTGAACCTTTGGGCAGTGTAGACATAGTCTGAGTCCTGCCATTCCAGACGCATTAAATTCACTCTCTGTTGTTAAGAATGTGAGCTCCAAAATCTGACGTGTTTGTTTATTTCCAGGGTAGGGGGAGATGATCATGAAGGTGACTGAAGTAAGTACATTGTATGTGGTCATAGGTGCTGACTCTGTGGGTGCACCAGGGCTGGAGAACCCACGGGGTAAAATTAGTGGGTGCTGAGTACCCTCCGGCAGCCAAGCTCCCCCTTCTGCTTCCCTCCCCGCTGCGCCTCTCACCCCCTGGTGGCCCCGCTTACCAACTCCTCCCCCGCCCTCCCAGCACTTCCAGAGCACTGCGAACAGCTGATTTGTGGCATTTGGGAAGCTCTGGAAGGGAGGGGGAGGAGCAGGGACTGGGTGCACTTGGGGAGGAGGCAGGGAAGAGGTGGGGCGGGGGGGTGGGTTTGGGGGCAGGGGTGTGGTGGGGGCGGGGCAGGGACTTGGGGGAAAGGTTGGAATGGGGGCGGGGTGGGGGCGGAGCTGAGGAGGGAAGAGGCAGGGCGGGGGCTTGTGGGAAGGGGCAGAGTGAGGGTGGGGCCTGGGTCAGAGGCGGGAGTCAAGCATCCCCAGGCTAGAGGGGAAGACGGCGCCTATGTATGTGGTGATATTTCTATCTCATTATAGTATAGAAGCACAGACACACGGTTACTAGGGGTTTAGTCAAGTACCTGCTTCCCAGGTCTTCTTCTCACTCTCTGAAATGGGGAAGAGAAAAGCGTTAGACCCAGAGACACACACTGGGTGGTGCTGTACACTCCCTAATGACTGGGGTTAGTCACAGACATCCCACACCCACACTCCAAGCCCTAGAGCTGGAGCCGGCAGGTTTGACAGGAGCAGGGCTGGCAATCAGTGATATGCACCAACACGCAGAAGACACGGGGAGTCTCTCACTCCTTAGCCCTACACACACACTTGCACCAATTTAACTAATTAGGTTTTAAAACATGCCTTGAATTAAACTGGGGCAGGGCTGTGTGTGACGCAGGCCTGGGACTGGTGCAGCAGGGCTAGTAGAACAATGGGATGGGGTCACTTACTCCACAGCGACCCCTGTGGCTGGTTACAGAACAGCACTAATTGCTAGGGGAGACCCATCCAGCCCTCCATAGATGGAGGAATGGTGGCTACAAGGGGACATGGCAGAGGGCAAAGGAAATGAAAGAGGGGGGGATCCTCAGGGCTCTTCCACACTGTGATTGCCCTGAGAACCCCGTGCTGGGACATTCTCCTCACCTTTCATCTATATCTCCCTGTGTGTCTGTGCACTGCCCAGCAGAATGGGTCAGCACATAAGGACATAAGAACATAAGAATGGCCCTACTGGGTCAGACCAAGGGTCCATCTAGCTCCGTATCCTGTCTTCCGACAGTGGCCAGTGCCAGGTGCCCCAGAGGGAATGAACAGAACAGGTTATCATCAAGTGATCCACTCAGCACCATCACAATGCAAACCAATATTGTTATTAAATATGGAAAAGTTCACAGTGGAATAAATTAGACGTGGACTTTTTTAAAAAAGTTGCTGCTGTGTCTAATAGCACAGTTCAAGGGAGTGAATGTCACAGAATCATAGAGTTTCAGGCCAGAAGGAACCATTAGGTCATCTGCTCTGACCCTCTGCAGAGCACAGCCCAGAGAATCTCACCCAGTTCCTGTTTCACTGAGCCCAATAACTCAGGTTTAGCTACAGCAGCTTCCAGAAAGGTGCCCAGTCTGGATCTGACCCTATCAAGAGATGGAGAATTCACCACTGCCCTGGCGAGCTTGTTCCAGTGATTAATCACCCTCCCTGTGTCCTGTGCATTCAACAGTCACAGGGATGGAATCATCTCACAGAGCGTCATTGACCTTGCCATGTCTTTTCCTTTAAGGAGAAGAGAACCACTGAACAATTGTCCAGAGTTAGTAGGACAGAATCTGACCCAGATTTGTTACTGCAGGCCTGTGTCTCTGCCCCACCCACGTGCAGGGAATCTCACAAGCACGGACCCTTGGGTATCCACTGCAAAATACACATTTGCCAACCTGTTAGCATCAGGGTGTGTGAGAATTTGGGGGAGATGAGGAATCACTAGGCAGAGACCTCCCGGCTCCGTCCCTTTCATTGCACTGAGCTCATAGATAACACCAAGCATCACATTGCTCAGACATCTCAACAGACAGAGCAAGAGACAGAGCAGGAGACCTACCAAGAAGTAACAGAACCTCCTCTTTAGAGCGTTTCTTCAGAGAGGCCTTTCGCTTCGCTGTGAGACAGAGAATCAGACATTACAGTGAGACAGGGAAGGAAGGGGAAACACTGAGCAATACGCTAATACAGGTGGAGCTGGGGACCCCAGTGTATTTGTTAGTCTGGTTGTTTCCTAAAACCAACGCAAGGTAAGTATCTGAACAATAAGATGCTCCCATGTCCCAGCCCAGTGCCCTCTAGGGCTGGGTTCTAAACATGCAGATAACACATTCCCAATACCTGCAAATCCAAGATACGCACAGGCTCCAGCAGCAATGAGAACCAGAGTGAACATCACCCAGAATGCAGCCAGCCAGGGAGAAACACGAGGGAAGATGTCACCTGGCAAACAGAGAGCACAGTGTGTGAGGAGCACGGTCCCATCCTAGAGCTGGAGAATGGGGTTTGCCACTTGGGTTGACAGCTGAGTCCTGGCTCAGGGAGCCCAGAATTCCATGGGAATGAAGGACGCAACCCCTTCATGCTCAAATCACAGCCACATATGGAGCCATTGAAACCGGAGAAGCCAGCACAACATCAGTTCCAAGAACCAGGACTCTGCTTTGCCCAAATCCCTCCCACTGCTACAAGCCAACAGCCAGCAGTTCTGTGCCCAGTCCTGCCTGCACCAGCTGGCTGTTCGGATGGTCATTGTCACACAGCTCCCAGTTCTCAGTCACCACGTCCAGTCCAGATAATTTCAGCAAAGAACATTTTTTCCTAGTTGGCCCCAGTGTGTTATGAGTTGATGGAATCATAGATGTTAAGGCCCAAAGGGGCCATTATGACCATCTAGTCTGACCTACTGTATAACCCAGGCCAGACACCCTCCTGCAGTGATCCCTGAATCCAGTCCAGAACTTTTTATCCAGTCACAGTGGATCTTATAGAAAGAGACGCCTAGTTTGGGTTAAAGATTCCAAGTAATGGAGAATCCATTACATCTCTAGGTCACTTGTTCCAATGGTTAAGTCCCCTCACTGTTAAAAATTTGCACCTTATTTCTAGTCTGAATTTGTCTAGCTTCAACTTCCAGCCATCAGACCTATCAACTGTCAGAAATCTCTCTGTGTAGATACTTACAGACTGTGATCAAGTCACCTTTTAACCTTCCCTTGAATAAGCTCTATAACTTGAGCCCTATGTTTCTGACTGTGAGGCAGGTTTTCAGACCTCTGGTTGTTTTTGTAGTTATTTTCTGAGCAATTTCCAATTTCCAATTTGTCAGCTTCCCATTTGAAAGTGTGGACACCAGAACATGGCTAACACCATGCACAAAGGTGATGTCACCTACTTTCCCCTGCTAGCTATTCTCATTTATACATACAAGGATTGTGTTCACCATCTTAGCTCCAGCATCGGTCTGGGAGCTCATGTTCAAGTCCTTTTCACTGCTTTCCAGGATACAGTCTCCCATCCTGTAAGTGTGACCTATATTCTTTGTTCATAGATGTGTGACCTTGCATTTGGCCATGTTGAAATACATGTTTGACAAAATGGGAATTTTTGTTCAGGCCATTGCACTGGTCCTGTAGATCCATGACAGCATGTTGTTAGTGTGAAACCACCTTACCACGCAATCCAGGTCAGTCTGTAGTACTGACCTGTCCCCATCATTATGTACCACTCCACCAATTTTTTACATTTCCTTCTAGCTCACTGATAAAGCTATTGAATTGCATTGGCCCAGAACAGATCCCTGTGTTTCACTAGAAACATCCCCATTGGAGGATGATTCACCATTACAATTACTTTGAGATCTATCAGTTAGCCAGTTTTTAATCCATTTAATGTAGGCTACCTTGATTTTGTACAGTGCTAATTTTTATCAGAGTTTCATGCAGAACTAAGCCATACCCATTACAGAGTCTGAGACCTGGTCTACACTACAAAGTTAGATTGGCTTAATTACATCGTTAAGGGCTGTGAAAAATTTCTCTCCCTGTGCAATGTATTCAAGCCAAACTAAGCTCCTGTGTAGACACAACAAGGTCAATGGAAGAGTTCTTCTATCAACCAAGCTACCATATCTCAGAGAGATGGATTTATTACAGCCACAGAAGGACTCCTTCTACCACTGTAGTAAGTGTTTACACTACCACATTGCTGCTGTAGCGTTTCTAGTGTAGACACAGCCTGAGTCTATGGCCTTGTCTACACTACGAAATTAGGTCGATTTTATAGAAGTTGATTTTTAGAAACCGATTTTATACAGTCGATTGCGTATGTCCACATTAAGCGCAATAAGTTGGCAGAGTGCATCCTCACTACCATGGCTAGCATCGTCTTACAGAGCGGTGCACTGTGGGTAGCTATCCCACAGTTCCCGCAGTCTCCGCTGCCCATTGGAATTCTGGGTTAAGCTCCCAATGCCTGATGAGGCAAAAACATTGTCGCAGGTGGTTTTGGGTACATGTCTTCAGGCCCCACTCCCTCCCTCCCTCCCTCCTTGAAAGCAACGGCAGACAATCGTTTCGCGCCTTTTTTCGTGGGTTACCCATGCAGACGCCATACCACGGCAAGCATGGAGCCCGCTCAGCTCAACGTCACCGTACGTCTCCTGGGTGCTGCTGGCAGATGTGATACTGCATTGCTACACAGCAGCAGCTCCTTGCCTTTGCGGCAGACGGTGCAGTAGGACTGATAGCTGTCGTACGTCTCCTGGGTGCTCCTGGCAGACCTCGGTGAGACATGGCTATCCTCCTCTTAGAGCACTGAATGGGAGCCAGAGACTCTAGATCATTCTCTTCTTTAAGTTTCGTCTCATGGAGATTCAGTCCTGCCTGGAATATCATGCGAGCTGGAGGCTTCTGCCTCAGGCAGCACTGCACGGTCACATCTACCCCAGCCTACCCCTTGCTCCCATGGCTCATGAAGCCTGGACAGTAGTAAGGAGCAGTTCAACTATAGTCTGAGCAAGTGCAGAATGGTGGTAGAATGTGCCTTTGGACATTTAAAAGCTCGCTGGCGCTGTTTGCTGATTAGGTCAGACCTCAGCACAACCAACATTCCCATTGTTATTGCTGCTTGCTGTGTGCTCCATAATATTTGTGAGAGTAAGGGGGAGACGTTTATGGTGGGGTGGGAGGTTGAGGCAAATCGCCTGGAGTCCGATTTTGAGCAGCCAGACACAAGGGCGATTAGAAGAGCACAGCACGGCATGCTGCGCATCAGAGACGCTTTGAAAACCAGTTTCATGACTGGCCAGGCTTCGGTGCGACAGTTGTGTGTGTTTCTCCTTGATGCAAACCCACCCCCTTTGTTGATTTTAAGTTCCTGTAAGCCAACCACCCTCCCACCTTCGAAATAAAGTAACTATTGTTTTGAAACCATGCATTCTTTCTTTATTAATTAAAAAAAATGAGATAATGGACAAGGTAGCCTGGGTGGGGTGGGGGAGGAGGGAAGAACAAGGCCACATTGCTTATTGTAGCCACACTAAATATCAAACTGTTTGAATGACAGCCTTCTGCTGCTTGGGCCATCCTCTGCAGTGGAGTGGCTGGGTGCCCGGAGCCTCCCCACCGTGTTCTTGGGCGTCTAGGTGAGGAGGCTATGGAACATGGGGAGGAGGGTAGGCGGTTATACAGTGGATGCAGCGGGGGTCTGTGCTCTTGTTGGCTTTCCTGCAGCTCCAACAGATGCTTCATCATGTCCGTTTGCTCCCCCAACAGACGCTTCATCATGTCTGTTTGCTCCCCCATTAGCCTCAGCATCGCGTCCTGCCTCGCTCTTCGCACTCACTTAATTCTTTCCTGGCCTCTGCTACTGAATGCCTCCATGCATTAAGCTGTGCCCTATCAGTGCAGGAGGACTGCATGAGCTCGGCAAACATGTCATCACGAGTGCGTTTTTTCACCTTCTAATCTGTGATAACCTCAGGGACGGAGATGATGGGGGAGCATAGAAACATTCTATGCTCTACGATTCTGCGGGGACTGCATGGTCACCTGTGCTGCTGAGTGCTGCTGAGTTTGCCATGCTGACCAAACAGGAAATGAAATTCAAAAGTTCCCGGGGCTTTTCCTGTGTACCTGGCTAGTGCATCGGATTTCAAAGTGCTGTCCAGAGCGGTCACAATGGAGCGCTCTGGGATAGCTCACGGAGGCCAATACCGTTGATTTGCGTCCGCACTACCCCAAATTCGACCCAGCAAGGTCGATTTTAGCGCTACTCCCCTCGTCGGGGAGGAGTACAGAAGTGGATTTTAAGAGCCCTTTAGGTCGACGGAACGGGATTGGTTGTGTGGATGCAGTCATTTTTAAATCGACCTAACACAGCTAAATTCGACCTAACCCCATAGTGTAGACCAAGGCTATATCAGCACAGTTACCTTTATCAACCAAAAGCACCATCTCCTCCAAGAACGATATCGAGTTCATTTCACAAGACTCAGCCCAGCTCCTGACAGGCAGTTTGTCCAGATCATAGAAACCTCCATCACTATTGGCCCCACAAATTGGCTTAGAAGGACATTTCCTGTCTCAGTACCAGAAATAGGCCCTAGCTGAGTGCAATTCCCAAGTGACTCAGGCCGCATACTTCTATGGTGACCCCTGAAAGCCTTGGTGGAGCCCTACATATAACTAAAAGTGTGAATCAAAGGCTGTGAACCAGAGTAGACTGGGCCTTGGAAAAATAACAACACACCAGGTAAGCACATTCCTGACTGGAGAGGATGGTGCAAAAACACAACAGATCTCTCAAGTAACTATGTAAACACTTTCCTAGGAGATGATACAGGAGCACACTGACCCCTTGTAGGATAATGATGGGATGACAGGATAATGGATAAGGATTGGTCACCACCCATGTCTGGAGTGAAATATGTAACTTGTTTGTAGGAGAAGTCATAGAAGGGGCATCTTTGTACTAGTCTAGAGGGCAGCATCCAGGTGCACTGACTGAGCAGGTACCATGTCGCAAGCACACATGTGTTACTGTAACTGTAGCTCCTATGAGCCACTAGTACCATGCTTTGTTGACCATAAACCTGGCTGAGCACCTTCAACACCGAATGGAGCCTGTGCTCTTTTGGATGAATAACATTGACATCTGTGGAACTGACATGCTGCTCCAACTTAAGAGCATCCGTGGAACTTCAAGAACAGCAACGCTGGCAGCAATAACAACTTAGCAGCCTTAACAACGCTGGGCAGTACTAACAACCACCCCTTCTGCATGGAGGGGACTCACCTGAGAGGTGAATGGCAGATCGTTGCTCAGTCTCCAGCAGGCCATTCCGCACTATGCAGCTGATGTCTCCATTCTCTTCTCCTTCTGTGACAGTGACGTGACTCACAACACTATACAGGTTCTCCCTGTCCTGAATCACGTTGGTCACAATCTCCATTGCGAGGTTCTGCTGGTTCTTTCCAACCCAATGGAGTTCAGGTTTGGGGAACCAGCCTGCGGTTCTACAGGCCAGACCAATCCCCTGGCCCTGGGGGCCCAGCACGTCAATGAACACTGGAGCCACTGCTGCAGGGAGAGATGGAGAGTGTGTGTATCAGGCAATTGTATCTTTGGTAGCACCATGTGATTCCCCAGCTACCTCTGGGTATAGGGGGCTGTGACTGGAAAGTTCCATTCCCATATGGGCAAAGCCTCCCTGGGTCCCCTCCCCTTGATGACAGGGGAAATTAAATAATATAATCTTGCATTTCCATAGAGCACTGTGCCCTGCAGGCTCACTGAGAACGTGCAGGGTGAAACTGCTACACAGATGTTGGTGTCACTAGGCATAGCTACCAGGTAACTCGGGAGAGTGGAAGGCCAAAAGTGCCGATGAAGCTCTTCTGCTCTGGGCCTACCTGAACCACAGAACCCCATCTTGTGAACTCTCACCTATTTTCATGCTAATTGCCTTGATGCTGAAGCAGAATATGTAATGGTCAGCTTTTCTAGTAGATGGCTGCAGTTTCACTCACACTAGTAGAAATAGTAGAGATAAAGAAGCGAGGGAAGGGAGGGGGTAGTTAGTTTGCAGGCGTCTAAACCCAAGGTCACAGATATGCATAAGACTGGGAAAGTTTTCTCACAAGCTTATGTAGAGCTTATTGTAACTTTTGTCTGAAAGGGAGGGGTAAGGGGGAAAAGCCAGACAAAGAGATGTATGCAAACGGTTTGGAGTATAAAAGGTAAAATTTGTTTGTATTTGTTGCACTTGATTTGAGACATGCTGGTCTCCTAGTGCCATTTCAGAGCTCTGAAATAAACTTGGCTTGCTTTCTCCCCTCGGTGTCTTTATTGGTGCCAAGCACACCGGGCAACGAACCACTGTTGTCCCCTCGAGCCCTTTGGGCTGGCAACACAGAGATCACTGCACCAGCTGCTGAAATGCAGCCACTTCTGGGAAGGAGCCCAGCAACTGTCAGAATCACTACACTTCAGTACAGAGCAGGAAGTGGTGGATGGTGACACTGCCTACATCACTGCTACAACTCCTCCTGTGCCACCCTCCTAATACTGTCCCCTCTGGTGTTCTTCTCCCGCACTGATAACAGAGCCCCAGGCCAAGCCACCCTTTATGCTTGGATTTCCCTCTCTCTGTGCTGCACACAACCACCCTCCCCTCATTTCAATCTCTCCCTAAAAGCAGACGTGTCCTGCGGATCCTTTGCACTAGGAGCCACTGAAGATGGGAGATGATTTAAAACAACCTCAATGCTCTGCATTATCACAGGAGCTTGATGTTTCTGAACTGTATTGTCTGGGGCTACGTTACTCAGTGAGGTAAATGGCCAGAGACCGTCCCTTCCACTGCCCTTGTGCAGCACTGAAGTCGGGGTCAGTGCCCAGGGAATAACAAACAATATCCCAGCCCTTGGAAACTGCAGGGGGAGTTTTAGGGAGACCGAATATAATTGTCACCTGACCTTGGATTTGGGCAGAACATGGGGGTAAATGTCCCACTCCCTCGAACAGCACCACAATGAGCATGAGAGCTGAGGACTGCAGCTCTAAATCTCATTGAAATTAGGTCATTTAATGCAGCACTGACCCTGCTAGCACCACAGTGGGGGTCAGCACTGAGTGCGAGGGGAAAGTGCCCCCTACTGAGTCCTGCACACAGCTCCCTGCAGCACAGGACCCTAGGTGCCATGCTGGGCTAAGTGATGGGGTGCCCCCAGGGGTACAGGGTGCTCTGGCTGCCCAGGCTGAGCATCCCCCAGTGCTGCATCTCACCTGCAACCTGTAGCTCAGTGATGGCTTCCTGGGTCCATTCTGGGTTCCTCACAAGACACTGGTATTTCCCGTCATCTGACACTTGGAGCCGTTTCAGCTTCAGTGAGACGTTCCCACTGCTGAACTCCTGCGGGAACAGCTCCGTCCGGGTCTGGTAACCCTCCCCTGGCAGGTCCTGGGTACCCTCATCCGAATACTTGTGAACTGGGATAAATCCTGATCCAGTTTTCCTCCACAGCACTTCCATGCTGGGCAGCCGGGCCGGGGGTGAGAGCTGGCAGGGTAACACCACATCCTGGCCAACTACCCCCATCACAGGGCGCGGGGAGCCAGCCAGGAAGAACTTCTCTGGAACAGAAAACCCCAGGAGCAGACTGAGTGAGAGGAAGGAGGAGAGGGCGTCACTGAGCCAGTGCCCAGCCGTACAGATGCACAGTGAGTGAAAGAGGAGGGGGCATTGCTGAGCTAAACAGAATTCCCTCAGTTGTGCATTGCTCGTAGCAGAAGGTTCCCAAGGTCGAGTCATGTGTAGCTTAACTGAATTACTCTCGGTGTGGATGCAGGGCAGTGCAGCCAGATCACAGCTGGCACAAATTAGTCCTCCAATGCTGTCCTCCAATCCCCTGGAAACTCCTCCAACCTACCTATACTCTGTTGGCAAGGAATAGCCCTAGCCGGAAGCCACCTGCCACTTCATAGTGCCCTGCACAGCCCCATGGCACCCAGTTACGAGCTCTTTCCAGTGCGAGCAACTTCTTTGATGGACCAGTTTCAGAGCTACGTAGCCCCACAATGGCTGCTGAGAGGCCACCTCAGAGGGCTTCTGCCTGGCCTGAGGGTATGGGGTCTTTGATGGCCCTTTGGACATCCCTGCCATGGACTCAATACCCCAAACAGAAACTGGCTTAGATGAGGAGTCACCCTTCTGGAGATCGGTGTCTGGGGGGGAATTAAGCATGTGAAGGTTATTTATGTGATGTCTGCACAATAGCTGTGTCTGAAGCACTGGTGCCCAAACTTCTCCTGTCGTGCCCCCCTACCAGTAATGGAATCTCTTCACACTGCCCTCCATTACTGCACAGCCAAGACTTTCTCAGTTTGGGCTGAAGGGTGAGCGGGGGGCAGAACTGGGGGTGAGAATGGAGCTGGGGCTAGAGGTGAAGCTGGCCTAGGGTGGAGAGGGAATGATGGGAGAGTTGGGCTGGAGGCAGAGCAGGGGGTGGAGTGGAGCTGCAGCTGGGCCTGGAGCTCTGCTAGGGTTGGGGGCTGGAGCTGTGGCTGGGGTCAGAGCTGTGCTGGGGGTGGAGCTGGGTTGGGGGTGGAGCTGGAGCTGAAGCTGGTATCAGAGCTGGGCTGGGAGCAGAGCAGGGAGCATAGTGGAACTGTAGCTGGGGCTGGGGCAGAGGGTGAGTGGAGCTGTGGCTGAGGTCAGAGCTTTTCTGGGGGCACTCCCTCCCTATCCCCCAAGGGGGCCGACCTGAGCCCCGCTGCCCTTCCCCGAACGTTCCTTCACACCCTCCTAGGGACCATGCCCCACAGTTTGGGAATGACTGGTCTGAAGGGTCTCCACACTCGTCTGTCCCACCATAGGTCAATTGTAGAGCAATTGGTGCCAAGCTGCATCACCTGACACTCACTGTGTGGCTACAGGAGGAGGGATAAGAGTGAGATTTTGAAAGCCACCAAGGAGATTTTCATACTAAGTGTTGCCAGCTCTTGGGCTACTATGTGTGTTTCATAAACCCCAGCTCCTGGAGGCATGGGATTCTATGAGAATCTCAGCTTTCATGTAAAACAAAAGTCAGTTTCTAGCTCTAGTGGTTGCAGAGAAAAGCTTGAAAATGTGACCTGTGTGACCAAAGGCTCAAAAAAGGAAGGGGAATAAGAACCAAGGGAGGAGTCACTGGGCCTCTGATGCCCCTACCCAGCCCAGCAGGGGGCAGCGTACATGGGGGACAGGGAGGGAAATAATTGGGATTCAAACGCTTTTACCAGAGAGAGAACACAGTGCCAGGAGGAGGATCCCCAGGCTGCACACACAGAGTCGCCACCACGTCGCCATGGGGACACCCCGGGCAGGGACCTGTAAGGAGAGAGCAGGGGATGGTTAACACTCCCCAGACTGCATCTGACCTGACCCACTCTGCTCCCAGGCAGAGCAGCTCCCCAGGGACAGGAGAGGATTTCACCCCACCCAGGCTGCTCTGCCGCCTGCCCAGGCCTGGCACTAGGAATTTCCACCCCCAGACAGTGCTGGGTATCCATCCCCATTTCCTCCCCTCGTCGGTTCTCTAATCAGCCACTGGTGCAGGTGCCCCCGATTCCAGTGCAGGGGAAGCCTGCAGCAGAGCAGGGCAGGGCCACCTCTGAGCTAACCCCCGTGGTACCCAGACCGTTGTCCCGCTGCAGAAGGGGCCTGGCTGTGCCTACCTCCAGCTGGGACAACACAGCCAATGCGTGACCCGGGGCTCTCCACAGCTCATTGCATGGGGCTCTACAGGGTGAGCTAAAGAGCCAGGCTGTGCAGCTGGGGCTGTGACAGACTCACATGCTGTGTGGATCAGGCCCAGAGGGACCCGTCTCACACCCTGGTCAGTGGGTGACACCTGGGCACCTTTCTACAGATCAGCTTGCCCAGAAGCCACCAACCTCTGTAAGTGACGCTGCTAAGGGACAGGGATGGGGCTGGCAGTGGCTGTGACAGACACCAGGGGGAGCTGTCAGATACCTGCTCCCCTTCCTCTGACATCAACAGAAGACCATCACATCAGTAGACATTACAAGAAGATACACTGAGGGTCAGCAGGGGCCATCTCAGCTCTGCTCAGAGCCTCAGACATTCTCCCCCCAATTCTCCAGCCTGTGTACACGGGGTCAGACTGGATGGACACAATGGGCTCTTCTGCCCTTAACGTTTGTCAATCTATTTCTGTTTCACTTCCAGCTCCCTCCAAGCCTGTCCATCAAGCATTGAAATCTGCAGAGCCAGTGCTAGGCATAAGCAGACTAAACAATTGCTTAGGGACCCGAGTAGCTCAAGGGGGCACCCTATTTGCTTTTTATTATAAGAACCTGCCTGTTTTAGTATGGGAGGGGGGATATTCCTGCTTAGGGCCCCCAGTGTGCTAGCATCAGCTTTGAAAAACGATTGGAATTGTAAGCTGTCTCTGTAAATGGGGGTTTTCCTGGTCCTGTTGGCAGGCAGGGGGCTATGTAGGGAAGTGTGTGATCCGGGTCCAGCAGCAGACAGATGTAAACAGCAGCCTAGAGAAAAGCGGGGTGACCTGGGCCTCTCTGTTTTGTCTCTCTCTGTTTTGGGTCCTTGTGTGCTATCGTTCTGGATTCTAAGCATTAAAGCCATGTTGTCTGCAGCCTTCCAGCCAGAGAATCTATGTTTATATCTAACTCCTCTGTGTGTGTCTCCCTTCTCAGCCCATCCAAGTCACTTGGGAATATCATGAACTGTTGGAGGGAATGGTTAAGGCCTAGGCACTAGAGGCCTGTGCCCAGGGGCCAAGCAGCCTCATGTCTTTTGTTTAAAAGAAAATGTAAGTTTCCTGGTTTCATGTGTGAGGAGAAAAGCTCAGAATCGTGCCATGGGTTTAATGGTCCCAGCAACACCTGCCTGAGTCTGCAGAGAGCCGGGGGACAGAGCTCCAAGAGGGGAACTGCCCCATGCACCGCAGAGGGAGGTTTACTGCCAACCCCACTGCTCTGGAGGCCCTGCCAATCCCACCCACCAGGGACTGTGTGTTTGAAACGGGGGGGGGGGGAAGAAGAGCTCTGAGGACCCAGCCCCCCACTAAGCACTGCTGTAATGGTCTTGGAGTTCATTAAACAACAAACCAGTGAATGAGAAAGGAATAAAACGTTGTTAAAAACAAACTAGAGAGCTTCTGTGGTGACCTGCTGTGCACTGTTGTGCACCCTGCTTCCAGGCACAGCTCAAAATTCCTATATTCATAATACTGACACTTATGAGGGACTGTCTCTAAATTATAATCTTCCACAAACATATCTCTACATCTTCCATCCTAAAAAAAACCATTATCTCTTATATACCCATATATAAATACCGAACAGCTATCTAATAACACATACCTTAAATTCTCTACCCATCTAGTACATTTCCATAAACCCAACATGTTAATTACCTAGAGAGGAGAAGTGACCAGCACATCCCTCTGGAGTGAGTCTTTACCACTCATGTTCCCCAGTTACCCCTTCTCCAGGCAGGTTAGCCCGTCTCTGAGTCTTTCAGGTTGTTTAATCTTCCTCTCCAATCTTCTCAGTATCAGCCTTTCATTACATAACTATCTGGCCTTTGTGACAAAGTTCCTCCTCTATCTTGGTGGGTCCTGCGCTTATTGGCGGATTTTCTTGCCTCAGAGATTCACCATGTGGGTTGGGGAACAGCCCAGAGACCTTCCCCTCTGGAAGAACCCACAGTCCAGGTCAATTGGGAGGTTTGGGGGAAACCCAGGACCGCCCTCTACTCCGGGTTCCAGCCCAGGGCCCTGTGGACTGCAGCTGTCTATAGTGCCTCCTGTAACAGCTGCATGACAGCTACAACTCCCTGGGCTACTTCCGCATGGCTTCCTCCGAACACCTTCCTTATTCTCACCACAGGACCTTCCTCCTGGTGTCTGATAACGCTTGTGCTCCTCAGTCCTCCAGCAGCACACCCTCTCACTCTCAGCTCCTTGCGCCTCTTGCTCCCAGCTCCTCACACTCGCACCACAAACTGAAGTCAGCTCCTTTTTAAAACCCAGGTGCCCTGATTAGCCTGCCTTAATTGATTCTAGCAGCTTCTTCTTAATTGGCTCCAGGTGTCCTAATTAGCCTGCCTGCCTTAACTGGTTCTAGCAGGTTCCTGATTACTCTAGTGCAGCCCCTGCTCTGGTCACTCAGGGAACAGAAAACTATTCATCCAGTGACCAGTATATTTGCCCTCTACCAGACTCCTGTACCCCACTGGTCTGGGTCTGTCACACCATAAATACATTGTTTGACTTTCTCACAGGCAAACAATATTCCTAAAAGTGCCTTCTCAATCTGTGCGTATCTGGTTTCTGCATCACTCAGTGATTGGGATGCATACCCCACTGATTGCCTACAATTCTCATGTTTTTGTAAAATTACTGCACCTAACCCAGACAGTGAAACACTTGCTGACATTTTAATAGGCCTGCCTGGTGCATAGAACTGCAACACTGGCTCTTGTATCAGTTGTTGTTTCAAACTGGCCCATGATTCCTCCTGTTCTGCACCCAAGTACCATTCATTTTTATTCTCTAGCAGTTGCCTCAAAGCCTCTGCTTTTGTAGATAGATTTGGTATGAATTTTC